GTGGTAATATTTCTTCATGTTGAGCAGGTATATTATATTACTTGACGTACATATTATGTACAGATTTTTATGATGTTTTCTGGTGATGCTGATATGTTTATACCTAACATTCTCCTAACATAACTTGCTTGTTGTTGCCATACTTTCCTTGCAAGTTGAATGATACGAGTTTTCCAAGTAAGTTTTGAATCATAAGTTAATTCAAGAAATTTTGATGATATGGCGACACGGGTCCCATGTGGTATAATTCCGGTGGTTGTCGACGTATTTTTATCAAATTGAAGAACAATATTATACTAGTTTTTGGAACGTTTATTTTAATTCTTTGTTTTTGGCAATATTCTATTATTTGATTTAAAACTAGTTGTAGGTTTGTGGCAGCTGCTGAAAAGGTTGTTGATCCCTTCCTCATCGCCACATCTTCTACTAAATTTGGATCTTCAATTGCATGTCGTTTACATAAATGATGAAGAGGAAAGTCCTAGCCATTCCTCCCTGGGGAACGCCCGCTTCGGGAATAAAATATTCCTTCCACGTCACTCGATATTTTCCGTTTCCTTAAAATTTAGATAACCAGCGAAAAAACCTATTGATAATTCCATTTACTTTATTCTGTATCTTAAACCAATATGCCACAAAGTGTCAATGCTTCCTTCCAAAGCAGGAGAAAACGCATTTATCTGTATTAAAGCCATCTACTATAGTTTCAGTGAACCTAACGAAATGATCCGTTGTCTGCCGAAATTTTCTGAAACCGTTTTATACTTCAGGCAATTTTGGCGAGATCTCCAGAAATATGGAGAACATTGACTTGTTTCCAAAAGGCTGGGATGTAACCAGAGTTGAGGGATAAATGTTGTCAGATGGTAAAACAGTTACTGAGTAGATTAGCTCGTGTACCATGCTATACTAGACTTTTGTGGTTTATAGATGTAATTATTTTTATTTTCGTTATTATGTTTTTTCATGTTTTATAGATGTAATTACTTCTATTTTCGTTATGTTTATTGTATATTTTATAGATGTAATTATTTTTATTTTCGTTATGTTTTACAGATGTAATTACTTCTATTTTCGTTGTTTTTTTCATGTTTTATAGATGTAATTACTTCTATTTTCGTTATGTTTTTTGTATATTTTATAGATGTAATCATTTTTATTTTCGTTGTTTTATAGATGTAATTACTTCTATTTTCGTTATGTTTTTTGTATATTTTATAGATGTAATCATTTTTATTTTCGTTGTTTTATAGATGTAATTACTTCTATTTTCGTTATGTTTTTTGTATATTTTAT